CGCCTCCTCCTCCTCCTCCTCCTCCTGTCCTCCTCCTCCTCCTCCTCCCTTTCCTCCTCCTCCCTTTCCTCCTCCTCCTCCTCTCTCCTCCTCCTCCTCTCCTCCTCCCTTTCCTCCTCCTCCTCCTCCCTCCTCCTCCTCCTCCTCCTTCCTCCCTTCCTCCTTCCTCCTCCTCCTCCTCCTCCTCCTCCTCCTGTTCCTCCTAGACTTAGGTTCGTGAATTGCGACTACAGTCGGTCCAAGACCACTTCGGGCCAACAAAACCCAAACCAGAAAAAAACACCAGGAAATCTTGAAACCCAAACCTGGGGAGGTCGACATCCTGAAAAAAACTCAAACACCGAACCTGCGAAAAACTCAAACCCACAAAAACATTCGAAAAAACCTGAAACTCAAACCTGGGAAAAATTCAAACCAAACAAAAAATCCAGACAATCTCTAAGCCGAAACCTGGGAAAAACTGTGGAACAACTGTGGAAACAACTTTGGAAACAACTCTAAAACAACTCTAACAAAATTTTGGAAAAACTCTAGAAAAAACTCTAAACGACTGAAAACTCTAAACAAACTCTGGAAAAACTCTGGAAAAAAACTCTAAACGACTGAAAACTCAAAAAAAAAAAAAAAAAAAAAAAAAAAAATCTGGGAGAAACTATGGAAAAACTCTAGAGAAGAAACTAAAAAACATCTAAAAAACCCTCCGGGTTTGATTTTTTTCCGGGTTTCCGCTTCAAGTTTTTTCTAAGTTTTTAAGGTTTGAGTTTTTCCCAGGTTTCGGCTTCAAGATTTCCTGTAGTTTCTTCTGTGGGTGAGTTTTCCCCAGGTTTTGTGTTTGAGATTCTCTCAGGTTGTCTTGGATTTTGAGTTTCCCATTCAAGATGCTTTAACATTTTTTTGGAGTTTGAGTTTCCGGCCGAAGGTGTTTTGAAGATTTGGGCAGGATTTCCGCTGGACCACCTGTAGTCAATTCACGAACCTAATCCTAGACTTAGGCAAAACATTCGCAGCCAACATAGGGGAGGGGGACGCAGAGTGAGAGGCGCGGTGCAACGGCGAAGCCGATATGTGTACAGGGACGCGCTTGCAGAGGCGAGAGGGCGAGAAGCCTGCAAACCAGTCATAGGGGTACAAACAGTGGCATAAACATAAAAACTCGGAGGTCCGCGCGGATTTCTCGGATCGGCGCTGGGGCCCCCCGGCGGCGCCTCCGGCGCCGCCCCTGGCACGCTCCGCGCGCCAGGGAGGGGGGTCCAGCGCCGATCCGAGAAATCCGCGCGGGCCTCCGAGGCTCGGAGGTGTTATGTTTATGTCACTTTTGTTCCCCTAAGTCAGCACCCCACACGCAGGGGGCGAGCACCCAACCGCCCTGCCGTGAAGCACGCATGCGTGACCCCTGCCGGAAGCCATGATGAGGAGCCGGCGCCACGAAGAAACGACAAGCCCACTCGCAGACAGCCCGATTCGCGACAGCGACGGCAGCGGCACAGAAGAGAGCGGGGGAACCCAAAAGGCACCGATACCGCTACTCCTCGGACCTCTCCCTGGGTGCGTTCTGACCCGGGTTCCGAGGCGGATCCAGCGGTGGCGACGAGGGCCTCCGAAGAGGCCCCAAAAAGGGAGACAGAGGAAAGGGTAAAGGTATGGGTGCCTTTTCCTCCTCCGAAGAGCAGAGGCGAGGAGAGACCGGGGCCCTGTCGCCCAGCACCGGCGGTATACGCCCGCGCCTCCCTGGACGAGGCGGGCCCACGAGGGAGTGCGGTGCGCAGGAGCGCCTCCGCCGCGGCCCCGACGGGACACGGCGGCGGCAAGGCCACGCAAGGCTTGGGCGCCACACCGCAGGCAAGGAGACGCGTGGGCTTTGGGGCTTTAGGCAAAGAGCCGAAACTCGCTGTCGCTCGGACGTCCATTCCCCGTGCACGTTTCGGTGCCGTGCGTGGTTTTCCCAGCCATCTTGTGGTTTTGGGTCCTCGTTTTGACAAGACGGTCCCCGCGTTCCCTCCTACCCTCCCTCCCTCCTTCCTTCTTTCCACCCTCCTCCCCCTCCTCCCTCCTCCCATCCCTGCCTCTGTCCTGCGCATGTCCTCGTCATCGTCGTCACCATCATCACCATGGGGAGCTCCACCGAAGGCCCCAGTGGCGTCTCCTCAACTCAGCAGAGCGTCTCGTGGCCGCACAGGGAGCTTCACCGAATGACCCAGTGGCGGTTTCCACATGCGCCTCCCCCACACACCACAGCGCTTCGTGGCCACAGTGACGGTGTCCACATGCGTCTCCCCCAACCCAGGCCCCAGTGGCGGTTTCCACATGCGCCTCCCCCACCAAGCACAGCGCTTCGTGGCCACATAGGGAGCTCCACCGAATGCCCCAGTGGCGGTTTCCACATGCGCCTCCCCCACCAAGCACAGCGCTTCGTGGCCCCATCGGGAGCTCCACCGAATGCCCCTGTGGCGGCGTCCACATGCGTCTCCCCCACCAAGCACAGCGCTTCGTGACCCCGCAGGGAGCTCAACCGAAGGCCCCAGTGGCGGTGTCCACATGCGTCTCCCCACCCAGCACTACGTGCCGTGGCCCCATAGGGAGCTCCACCGAAGGCCCCAGTGGCAGTGTCCACATGCGCCCCCCCTCCCAACCAGCACAACATTTCGTGGTCCCAGAGGGAGCTCCACCGAATGCCCCAATGGCGGTGTCCACATGCGTCTCCCCCACCCAGCACAAAGTGCCGTGGCCCCATAGGGAGCTCCACCGAAGGCCCCAGTGGCGGTGTCCACATGCGTCTCCCCCACCCAGTGCAGCGCTTCGTGGCCCCATCGGGAGCTCTACCGAATGCCCCAGTGGCGGTGTCCACTTGCGCCTCCCCCCCCCAGCACAGCGCTTCGTGGCGCCAGAGGGAGCTCCACCGAAGGCCCCAGTGGCGGTGTCCACATGCGTCTCCCCCACCCAGTGCAGCGCTTCGTGGCCCCATCGGGAGCTCCACCGAAGGCCCCAGTGGCGGTGTCCACGTGCGCCTTTCCAACCCAGCACAGCGTGTCGTGGCCCCATAGGGAGCTCCACCAAATGTCCCAGCGGCGGTTTCCACATGCGTCTCCCCCACCCAGGACAACGTGTTGAGGCCCCATAGGGAGCTCCACAGAAGGCTCCGGTGACGGTGTCCACATGCGTCTTCCCCACCCATCGCAGCGCTTCGTGGCCTTATAGGGTGCTCCACCGAAGGCCCCAGTTCGTCACCCCCACCCAGCACAGCATGTCGTGGCCCACAGGGAGCTCCACCGATGACGATACCCACACCTGCGGTACTCACAACTGCAGACGGTTGGGTCCTTTGCCTGGCTGACTTGGCTATGATTCAGGATGCTCCTCGATGGTCCTCGCCGAGGAAAAATGCACACGTTCGAGCGATGCTAAGGAAGTGACACTGGTCGACCTCCATGATTTGGACCCCAGGCTGCCGAGAAAAGGCCTGCAACTCAGGCCGCATCCAGCTGCGTGTGATCGAGGACTCGTGGGATCGGGAGTGGGGAGTTCGATTGTGCGAGGGATGCCGTATGTCCAGGCCTGATGCAGATGAGGCAACACAGCAGGCAGAAGGCGGTTGGCAAGGTCGAGCTGGAGATACTCGCGCATGAAGAAGGAGGGGGGTCCGAGGAGACGCTGAGTGCGCGAGGCGGGAATGTATCCATATCCACCGCCTGGGAACCGACGTCTTGGTGCCCCGGCGGGCGGTGGATATGGATATATGTTGGCCCCTGGGTGCCTGAAAATATCCATATCCACCCTGTGGAGGTCCGCGAAGATCGACCCCCCAGACGGTGGTTACGGATAAATTCCCGCCTCGAAGAGAGGAGCGCAAGGGACGGCAAGCCCGGCAGCCGTCGGGGGGATCAAGGCCTCACGGTGGGGGCCCCCAGCAAGCAATGGCGAGCACGCACCCATCAGCTGTGCGGTGGAGCCGCACCGCGAGGATTCAGGCCAAGTTTCAACACTGAACATGATGAATGATGTCGATGCAGAGCGCGATCGCACCGTGCGGCACACGGGACGTGAGGTCCTGAAAACGATGCTGCACATGATTTGATCGACCCTGGCCCGATGAAGAGAGGAAGCACAGAGATGGCATGCTGGGCAACGGGCTTGGAGGGGGCGGGCCAAGGCGGCGCCAGGGCCTCGACTGAAGCCCCGACCAGCGGTACGGCAACGATGGAATATCTGGAGCCCAGGGCACAGGCGGGAGAGAAGGAACGAACGCAGGGACAGCGGGTCTGGCGGCGAGTGTCCTGATGGCTCTTGGATCGGCGCTGCTGCTCCAGGTCTTGGCGTGCTTTTGTGGGCCACTTAATTCAGGCCAAGATCAGCTCTCCCATTGCCAATGCAAGCCCCCGACGCCTTGATTGTGTTAACAAAATGGACCCCCAGAGCTCTCGACACAATCCCTGGTTCCGGCTGAATCGTTGTTTGGCAGTTCTGGGGCCCGGCGAAGTCCACCGGAAACCGAAAACTGCAACAAAAACACCGTCGTGCTGTTCCATACGATGGACGTCTGGAATCTGGACACCTGGAATGGGGACTGAAAAAACTGCGTACGAATGCCCAGCAAGAAATGCTGTCCAAAACTGACTGCGGCCGCTGTTGCCCAGGCGAGCTTGTGTTTCACAGTGGACAATTACCGCGGCGACGCCGACGGCGAATCCTGATCAGAATGAACAAGAACTGCTACTGGGCATCGTACCCAGTCTTTCTGTACTGAAGGGGCCCTGGGACACGCAAATAAATACACACAAATAACAGGATTCTCGATAATTTCATATATTTTCTTGGTTTCTGTCTTCCCCCCCACTTCCTATATTTTCCCATATTTTCTGGGGAATTGGCGATTGAGTGTGTCTGTGTGTTCTGTTCCCTCCTGATGTACCCACGCCGATCGTGCCGGTGGAAGATCGCTCCGGCGAGAGGCCACTCCTACGCGCAGCCGATCCCGCCCCTCCCTCGGCACAGTGATGGGGGGCCTCCACGTCCACCACCTGGCCCGGCTTCTTGCCAGGCTTGCCGCCCGGCCGCAGCGGACCGCCAGTCTTGCCCACGACGCTGGGGGCGGCGCGGGCGGTGGGCGGCTCGGCGTGGCGGGATCCTCCCTCGTCGTCTGCATTGTCCTCCTCGTCCTCGTCCTCGTCCTCTTCCTCCTCCTCGTCCTCCTCCTCCTCCTCCTGCAGTCCTTTTCCTGATAAATCCGCCGACCCTGTCGACGTGTGTGGGATGTCTGTCTGGTCCCGTCGACGGGGAACCTTCTTTCGTCCCCTCCTTCCCATCCTCCTCTCCCGCTGGGGGAGAAGAGAGAGAGAGAGAGAAAGAGAGAGAGAGAGAGCACCCTTCCTCGTTCGGGGAACGGGTCCGCAGCTTGAGGGAATTCCATCCACGTCCTCATTCCGTCAAAGGGAAGCCCCTTCCCTTGGTCCCTTCCCCGGCGGGGGGGGGGTCCTGGGGAAGGGGGGGGTTAGATTCGCATCGCCTCTGGGGGTCCTCCTTTCCGACGCCAGTCCTTCTCCAGCGCGCCGGTCCTCCTCGGGTCCTCCTCCCAGGGTGGGGAGGAGTCCCAGGGGGGGGGAGGGGAGTCAGATACGCATCCGTCCATCGAGGTCCTCCTCTCCCTCCCCTCCCCTCTCCCACGCTGGTCCTACTCCGGTCCTCATCCCCAGGAGGGGTTGGGGGTCCCAGGGAGGAGTCCTTTACCTCCTCCTTCTCCTCCTCCTCCTTATCTCGGCCTCCTCCTCCTCCTCCTCCTCCTCCTCCTCCTTCTCCTTCTCCTCCCCCTCCAGGCCGTCGTCGATGTCTTTCAGGGTCGGCGGCACTGGCCGTCAGGCCTACACGATAACTCCTCCCTGTCACACCACGAGGCCAGTTCTTAGGGCGGGCCGGGCAATTCGCCAAGACTTCCTCATCACGTATGACCCTGAAGCTTAATCATTAGCAACAGTTTCATAGATAAAGGGCGGGTCGTTTTCAAAATGTGGCTCTTAGCGCCGCGCACACTCTATTTTAAATTTGCAAGAGCTTCACGGATTGAGGGCAGCTCCTTTTCAAAATGTGGCCCTTGCCTTAGCGCCGTGCACATTCGTTCTTAAAACTTGCAAGAGCTTCACGGATTGAGGGCGGCTACTTTTCAACATGTGGCTCTCGTCTTAGCGCCGCGCACATACGTTGTTTATATTTGCAAGAGTCCCACGGATCCCCAGGATCAACGATCCATAAATGCTGTTTTGGAAGAATTCCGGATTTTGAAGGTGCAACGGTTACGTTGATTCGCGAAATTGAAATCCCAAGAATGGCGTTCTGGTACGAATCCAGATCGTCAAGACGCAACAATCAGGTTGATCCGTGACGTTGGAATCCTGAGAACCATGTTTTCGCACGCTTCAGGGTCTTCAAACGGCTGCCTTCCAACAAGGCTTAAGTCGGGCGTGTCCCCCTACAGGGGGATACGCCCGACTTAAGCATACCCCAAAACATACTCCAAACATACCCCAAAAAGGTCAAACAATACTCAAAAAAAAGTCCCCAGACTATCTTTGGGTAACTTTTTTGACTATTTTGGGGGGATCTTTAGTTTTCGTCGGAAATCCCCAGAGGGACAGGTCCGACTTAAAACAAGGCAATTTCCTCTGTGGAAGTGCACCATTGTGAGAACCTGTGATGAGGGAGCTTGGAGGGAGGATTCATTCCCACATCGCTGATGACTCGCAAGTTCACACTGGCCCCGATGGCCAGACAAGATTTCGCTGGCAAACTGTTGCGCCGAAGGGGAGGGGCGGGCGGGCGGCGACCTAAGGAAACGTGGTTCCACGAACGCCCAGGGGATCGCACGGGCAATGGGACAAAGGGGTGAGGGGGGGGGGTCATCCCCGACGCTCCCGCAGCCTGGCTCTCGCGCGCAAAAAAATGTTGCACGTGAGCTACGGCCTGTCCGCCCGTGGCGAGGGGGGGGGGGGGGCTGGCCCTTCGGGCAGCCGCTTGACTTCCCCAAACAGTGTTTGTCGGGTGTTTAACTTCTTCTGCTCAAGTAATGGGTTGGGTTTCGCCACGTGGGCGCCTCGTGGACGCCCCGCGCTTGGGGAGCACGCCGAGGTTTCGTCACGTTGCCGCCCTTGCCGCCTCGAGGGCGCCTCGAGGGCGCCTCGAGGGCGCCAAGTGCGCTGAATGGGTGTCCCGATGTTATGGCACGCTTCCGCCCGTGGCGCCTCGTGGGCGTCTCGTGGGCACCCCGTGCTCTGAGCTTACACGACATAACTTTCTCCACATAGCTATCACCACAAAGCTTACACTACATAGCTGCTGTATTACCCGGCATGGCTTACATCACATAGCTTGCACCCCATAGCCTCCACTTCCAGATCACACCGCCCAGACGTAGCTTGCACCACAGAGCTGACACGGCATCAGGCATCAACTCCATGGCTCAACCTATTATCTTATACGGCACAGCTCTCGCCACACCGCAGAACTTTCCCCTCCACAGTGCAATAACGCACTGTGCGGAGTCTACATCGGCTAACAGTGCTCATCAATTCGCTGGCCCAACGGTCGGCGGGGGGTAGGGGGAGGGGGTAAGGCTTCTTAGAAGGGGACTGCTTCTGAGAAGGCGCCGGCCCTTCATCTACAGAGAAGGCCCGCGCCTTCTAAGAAGCAGGGGTGCTTCTGAGAAGCCTCCCCGCCCCTTCCCCTGCCCACCTCTGCTTGCAAAGACCTCCGCTAAAAGGATTGCAGCGTTTCTAGTTCGCGGCGAGCGTGGCGGCCCCTTGGGGAGCCCCAGACGACAAGCACTCCAGGCGCAGCCAGGCCACCACTGGCCCAGGGGTGTATGTTTTGCCTCTGGGCGTCGCCCTGAGGGTTCTCAAGGGCGCTCCAGGAGCCTTCATCGAAGCCTGCAGGAGAGCACAAGGGGGTTCGAGACAGTCCGTGAGCGCTCCAAGACGTCCAGGATGGTGTCTTCACAGTCCAAGGGGACCGTAAAACGCACCAACGGCCAAAAGGACCCCAAAGAAAGCGCAAAGAACCAAAACCTATTGATTTGCATTAGGTGCTTGAAGGACTTGGGCGTCACCGCCTTTTCGAGCTTCCGACTTCCGAAAAAAACAGCCCGAGAGGCCCCCAAGATCGCCCCAAGACAGCCCAAGAGCGTCCAAGAACGGCCCGAGGAAGGGCCAAGAGGGCCCTAAGGTCGTCCAAGAGGCCCCCCAAGAAGGCTACAGAGGCCCCCAAGAGAGACCCTAGAGGTGGAATCCGTGCTGTCATGTCGAGCAATGTCAGACGCCCAACATACTCCCCCAAAAGTCCCCCAAGAGGGCCAAGGAGGCCCAAACATTTTGCCAAGTGACCCCCAAGAGGCCTCCCATGAGATCCCAAGATGCCTCCCATGGAGGCCTCTTCTCCACGACTTACGTTGGCTCCAAGAGTGCCTCAAGAGGCCATCGAGAGGCTTATGATTCCTCCTCCTCTCTTCCTCCTCCTCCTCCTCATCATCATCAGCATCATCATCATAATCATCATCATCTTCAACAGCAACATCATCAGCATCCTCATCATCAACAACATCAACATCATCAAAATCGTCATCATCTTCATCCTCATTTCTCTCTCGCCACGAGCACGCCAACAGAGCAACAATGATGCCAGATGGGCCGTCGGAATGAGCAAAGCGAGCGAGTGAAAAAGTGCCAGCACCTCAAAGGTTTGACTGTACGTGAGAAGCCCTCCCTGCCTCATGAGAACGCCGCCCTCCCTCGCCACACCCGAAAGTAAAGGCGACGCTCATGGGCATGTGTTCGTCCTCGTCCTCGTCCTCGTCCCCCCTCATCTTCCTACCTCCTCATCTCCCCATCACACCTCATTATACCTCCTTCCCTTTCTCCTCCTACATGCCCACCAGCCTCCTCCTACCTCATGCCTTCTGCCCTCTGCGCGTCGGAATGGAAAGCACAGGCGCCAAGGCCAGTATCAACGGGCGTTCGCTCCCTCGAGACAGGAGGAGATGGTGAAGGAGGAAGCTGTTCGCAGGATTCACGCTGTCGAAACACATTCGGAGGGGGGTCCTCCTTCCCTTCCTACCTCCTCCTCCCCGCCCTCCTCTGCCCTCCTCCACATCCCTTCCCCCCTTCTACCAATTCCTCCAACTCGTTACTCCTCATCCTCCCCCTCTAGAAGGAAAAAACGCCATACGCATGAACTTTTCGCGCTCCGCGCGCCAGGGGGGGTGTCCGGCGCAGAGCCAAGACATCCACGCGGAGCGCGAAAAGCTTGTGTATGGCGTTGTTGCTTCTTCGATGCTCCTCCTCCTCCTCCTCCTCCTCCTCCTCCTCCTCCTCCTCACCCTCCTCATCGTCCTCGTTCCCCCTTGATCCTGCGCCTCCTCTTATGTCCTGCTCCTCTCCGCAGTGGCAAAACAACAACACCACCACCACCACCACCACCAACAACAACAACAATCGTTTTAAGACTGTTCGCCCTTATCCGCTCGAGTGTCCAATAACGCGTAGTTCCCAAACCCTCGATACCCGCCCTCTTCGTCTTCGATCGAACCCCTTTTGGGAGGTATACCTTTCTTCCCTGCAAGCCGGGCCCCGGCAAGCGGCTGGGCGGCCGAGGACCGCCGGCCTGGCCAGCGGTAGCGCTGATCGGCGGGGCGGCCGCGGACCGTCGACCAGACCCCAAGAGGGACGGACAGGGGACCGACGACGACGACAACGACGACGACGACGACGACGACGACGTCGACGAAGACGGCGACGACGACGACGACGACGGCGACGACGACGACGACGAGAGAACGCGAGAGCGAGAGAGAACGATGGCAGGGCCACGAAGGACATGAAGTAGGCCACGAAGGGCGACAGCGGGGACACGAAGGGAATACAGATGGGGCCACGAAGAGCGCGAACGAGCGGGGGCCACGAAGGGCTGATGATGCGGGGCCACAGAAGTCAACGATGGGGCCACTGAGGGTAGCAACTGGGCCACGTAGGACAGTGAGGGAGCCACAAACGGCGACAGCGGGGCCACGAAGGGCACGTGCATGGGGCCACAACGGGCGCGAA